ACTACTCAACCATCACATACAGGGACTATTCAACAATCAAACACTGGTACCACTCGACAATCACACATAGCGACTTCTCAACAATTACACACAGTGACGTCTGGACAAGCAAAAACAGGGACTACTCAACCATTACACATAGAAAAGAGACTTCTTAACAAGCAAACGTTGGGAGTAAACAATGATTCAGAGCAACTATTCCACAAGCCAAATGCTGGGACTAAACAATTATACAGAGGGACTACCCAACAATTACACACAGGGTCTAGCCTAGCAAAATTAAACAGAGAGACTACATGACAAGCAAACACAATGTTACTATAGCAACTAAGAAACAAATGAACAACAGTGGTGTCAGTATTAAAATGTTCTCACAAATTTTATTTACACAAATGTCTGAAATAATGATTCAACTCTGATGGTATCGCAGTCAAGTATAAGAACAGAATGAGGAACAGACACACACACACACAAACGGCATTCTCATCTACCACTGTTGCACACACTGACATCCCCTTTTGTTCCCATACACGCCAGGAAATGCTGATTGTTTCTGGGTGGGTGCGCCCTGTCCTGATGCCATGAAGCCCTAGGGGTGGAAGGGGGGGGGGGGGATGAGCAGACAACATAGCGAATGATAAAAATGGATCTATCAGTAATAAATACTACGTGGATGCTATCACACAATCACCTGCTGCTTGGGAGGGATAGCTCCTGGCTGGCAAATAGAACATGCTTGGTGATTTATCTATATACAGTGAAAGCCATCTAAAGTTCCACAACTCAGCCACAATAATCTAACATCTACTGGAACAAGCTGGAGCATGCAAGCCACACACTGGCACAAGCTGACCAGACTTCCTCCACTGCTCATATTACGCCTTCAACTGATGACTGTAAGGTCTTGTAGCAGTCCTGGTCAACACATCTCTATTCACACATTGGCTAGCACTAGAATCCCACAACAAATCATCACTTCTGCATCCACACATTAGCATACCAGAATCTCAACACATAAGCATCTATACACCAACATTCCTGCATCCCCCGTATTAGCACACCATAATCCTAAAACACACCAACACTGCTGCATCCATACAACATAATCCCAAAATACACGAGCACTACACACCAACACTGCTGCACCCACACATCAGCATACTAGAATGAAAAAAAAAAAAAAAAACTAAGCAGAATGCCACACTATCTACACAGGTCTATCCACACCAGAATCTCAAAACACATCAACATCTACACATCAACATCTACACACCAGCATTGCAAACATAATCCCCAAAACATATAATCACCAGTATCTACACAACAATACAGCTGCAGCATCGTCTGTCAAATCCCCACTAACACACACTGAAACAATCAAATCTGCAGAAATCAACTTCTTCAAGTAAATACCTGACCTTCCGTGGCATCAGAGATCACATAACACCAAGGTTCAGGGTGGACAAACAAACAAGACTGCCAAGTGGCCAGCTTTTAACCATACTTCCTCAGAATGAGGCCACCCACCCAGCAATATCTCCCTAACCATGAGTCATCTAGACGAATGTTCATAAAGTCAAACTGGCTCACTGATCTAGATATAAAGTAGCTCAACACTCATGAACAGATAAAGAAATGATAAGGAGAAGAGATCCAGAAACCAGTAGGCTAGAGCTACAATACAGTGCAGACCCTTAAGGCGATCTTGGATGGGCCAAATTGATTTTGTTTAGAACAACTTGTTTATCCCGGGTAATTTTTCTTGCTTGAATTCTTACCTGGTTAGGAGGAATTTCTGATAAGAAGAAGACATTCTTGTGTCCCCGGTGAGTTCTCCTTACCAGGTCTGCACTACTATTAGGGTAGAAGACAACAACAAAATGTAACACTGCAGATGTATCAGGTGGAATCAGCCTAAAATGGGCATCAGGTGAAGACCTTCAAAGTAAGAATGGCTGGCCTGATGCTAACCACAGCACTCAGTGTCAGGTCTATACAAATATGAGCAGCCTAGCATGAGTGACGTGCAGCTAGCGAGAAAAGAGACCTTTACAGCAGTTCTATAAACTAGTGTTTCTGCTTGCATTTTTTCTGCAGCTTTTTAACATTAAGACTGTTTGACCTGATCCGGAACCCCTTTACGCACGGCCCTGGTGACTGCAAACACCAGAAGCTTTCTTGTAGCCAGCACAAAATACAGCCATTAGAAATTACTAAGACTGCCAACCAGCCATGGGATATTCATCACCATCAAGTGCTTTGCCGATTGGCATGGGCAATCATGCCTCTAAAATCTGCGATCCATAGCTGCGTGTACCAGTTCATAATTTACACCCCTCCATGCCATGACAAAAGACTGTTAAGAATCCTCTCGCACTGTCCTCCCTCGTCTCTCTTTCCAGTGGTCACAAAAAGTTATTTTTTCCATCTTCTCATAACATGACCAAAAAATGATGATTGTCTCTTCCTGATGTTTGTGAAAAGCTGTCTTTGAGTATTCACCTCTTTCAAAACATATGGGTTGCTCTTCTTAGGATCTTCTGTGAAACCACATCTCCGAGGCCTCAAGATCAATATTGTTCAGCTTGTTTATTAATTGTCCAGGCTTCACAGCCGTATGTTAAATCATGGGATATTGCTGGGAAAAAAACCCATCTGCCATGGGATATTACTTAGGCAAGGGGGATGTGTGGTATTGAGGCATAATGTCCATCTCGAGTGCTAGAGGTTCCGGGTTCAATCCTCGGTAAGTTAAAGGCTGGGATTTTTCACATGGACTTCTAGTAATTCCCCCTGGTCTCTGGATAGTGAAATAAGACGCCCATGTGCATTGTTGCGCACGTAAAAATGTCCTTGGCAATTAGAAATTGAAAAGAGTAGCCTAACAGCAATGCCCGGGGATAATTTTGAGTCAAAATCTACCAAAAAAATTGTATGATCCTCACCTGTGCTACAGAACCTGTGAACTGTGCTGAGCTTCTTCGGACTCAAACTTGAGTTAGAAGAAGAATGGAGCACTTAAGGGTTACACCTGTGTGCCATGATGTTGATCTGTTTTTTAAAACCTCAAATCATATGAGGTAGTGCGACCAGTAACTTTCCGTCCCTAATAATTCAAATATTTTTTAACACTGCGTGGTACCTTTATCTACCGTGCTTAAATGGGCCATGCCAACGCAAAAGTGAGCACATTCACATGTAGAAGCTTTTATTCCAACTGAACACAACTGTTTATTATTATAACAACAAGCAGGTTGATATGTATGTAGGTCTGAAAATAAAAACAGCAGCACCGGTGAAGTATTACCACCTGACTGTGACACCAGCTGTGCAGTGTGCTCATCCAGCAACATGAAACTTCTGGGCAACCAGCTCATGCTTAAATAGTCTATCTGGTTTCAGTCAATGGCTTCCACATATATGTTTGCTCAAGTGTGCAGTCGCCTCCCAAAGATGCAAGAATCTCAGCACTGTACATGAACTACCCAGTGCTTCCGAGGATTCACATGTGTCTACACCAGAAGATATATTTTTGTGTGTGCTGGGTTTTCAACTTAAAATTTAGCTTAGGCTAAAACCAGGCTCACCCGCATTATTTAACTTGAAAATGCATAGGGATGTTTACATACACATGGCAGCTTCTTGCTGACCCATGTAAGCAGCCCTGTTTCACTGCCAGGGAAAGGGGTGGGCATGCATGCATGTGTGCGAGATGTGTGTGATTTTTGCACAAACTCAAATCAATACCAAGAATCTAACCAGATCATGCGTGAGCCAGCACAGACGCTTTAAACTCTACATCACTAATGGAGACCAAACACAAGGATGATCCAGGGAGAAAACACAACCCACCCCAGCACATCTCCAGCTACATTAGCTAGGCTAACAACACAAAACTGCACAGGCTTCACGTCCAAACGTCACAGCCATACACTCAGCCAGTAGTTGTTTACTGTCATCTTACACCAGAATGGTCAAATCAGAAAATCTTTACTTATGGAATGACTTTTGGCAACTGTTTTCCCCCCAAGCCTAATGAACAACTACTGCCAGGATGATCAGCTAAGTGAACCATTTCAAATAAACAATTAAAACTTATCAGGCATGAACTCGTTTATGACAGGAACACATCCTCACTCACTCACAACACACCCAGAGATATATGATACACTTAGCACCAATAATGTCAGTGTCTCATATACATTATATCGCAGTAGTAAAGCAACTGGACCACTCATACAGCTGCCCAGTAATTAGCAGTCTCTGGCTAACCATAGGTACAAAACCTGGCAAGTGCAAAACTCTCGTCCCCAATTCCTAGTGACTATGGACACTGCAAGCAATTACAAACTTCAGCACCAAAAAAAAAAAAAAAATATTTATCTAGCGGCCCAGAAGTTAGGGTGGCTTCCATACTTAACCTTCTTGCTAAAGATGGAGCAGCAATACATCCCACAATTCATCCAGACTGGGGTCAGAGTGACTCTTTAAAACCATATTAGACTGATCACAGACCAAAAAAATGTTTCTTTATAAATGGGCTTTCCCGCCCTCATTTGCCTGCAGTGAGATCTATCTCAAATAGAGCTCTGTAATGCACACACATGTAACTGTACAGATGTATTTGTAAATTAGCAAACATTCTTCACATTTTCCTCCAAGTGCTTAAGTGTGAACAAGTTCTGTACATACCAAAAATTATGTATTTACATAGAACAGCCAGAAATACTTGCCACACAACCAGCACGTTTACAGCAACGACAAACATGGCATCAGTGAACAAATACAATTGACAACTCTGTGTTCAGTAAAAAATATAAAACTCTGAATGGAAACAACGAAGATAATCACATTTGTTCAAAGAGCAGAACTTTGTACAAGAAACAAGCTTCGTACACATAATCTTGTCAACTGATAAATTACTAGCAGGTAGAGAGAGAGAGAGAGACAGAGAAAGAGAGTATGAGAGAGAGAGAGGAATATTCACAAACACAGCGCCGCTATATCTGGTTCACATAATGAGCTAACTGGTCCTGGGGGGTCAGTGGGGCCACCTCACTGTCCTGCTGGACCATTGTGAGATCTGAGTTAGTCATGCCCGACATGGAGTTGTGAGTCTGTAAGGTTGGTAACATAACATGGTCACTGTTCATTTGTGAAGTGTCCTGCCCTACACCTAACCCATGCAGCGGAGACTGACCGCTGACCATGTTATGGTGGGGGGACTGCTGTAGCTGGCGAGGGGACGGTATGGGCTGCTGGCGGGGCGAAGGCGTGGGTTGCGGAGATCTGACTGTCTGAGGTAGCCCAGCGGCAGCTGGCGGAGACCTGACCTGCTGCAGCATCTGCTGGGGTGAAGGGTTTCCTTGCTGCGTCAGCAGGTACTGGGGGCTCATGGGCTGGCCACCAGCCATCTGCTGCTTCATCTGAGCCTGGTGGTGCTGGTGCTGGATGAGATGCTGCTGCTGGAACTGGTGCATGTTGTGGCCGGTGTCATTCTGAAATGTCTGCTGGAAGTTCATACGGGGCCGCTGCACAAATGGCTGCTGTGGTTGAGCAAACTGGTTAATTGGAGAAGTTTGTTGTTGAGTTTGTAACTGCTGCTGTCTGTACTGCTGTGGTAGTATCTGGTTGATTTGGCTTCGCATCTGCTGCTGCTGCATCTGCACACCACCTGGGGCAGAGGCTGGCCCATGTTGGGCATAGCATGCATCTGTTGCTGAGGTTGTTGTTGTTGTTGTTGCTGCTGCTGTTGTTGTTGTTGTTGCTGCATCATTTTCTGATTTTTAAGTTTCAACACCTGAGCCATGAGCTGAGGATTCTTCCTGAGGACAGACAGCCACTCAGCTTGGGAAAAGTTCTGGTTCTTGAAGGCCTGCAGCATGGTGTGCACAGCTGGGCCAATAGGCGAGGCACCAGCAGCTGCTGAAACAGCAGTAGTGTTCACAGCACTAGGACCAATGGGCGGCACCGGTGGCTGCTGCGCAGGCTGGAGCTGTTGCGGCTGAGTGTGTGGCAGCTGTATACTCTGCAGTCTCATGTTACCACTCATCCCAGGTCGAGGTGGTTGTGGAGCTGCCTGTGGGTATGAAGGCCAAGGAGGTCTCTGAGCACTAGCAACTGGCTTGCCAGTCAAAGGTCCTACAGCGGGAGGTGAAGGTCTGACTGGCGGCTGCATTGCTTGTTTGCCAATTGAGTTCATGGTGGGCACAGCAGCCACCTGCCTCTGTTTCTCTGCCTGTAGCTGGGCATCCTGCGCCGCTATGACAGCCGCCCGGGGAGGTCCAGGAGCTTTGCCCAGACTGCCGCCGGAGAAAGGCGAAGATGATGTGGATGAGGGTGATGAATCCTGGTTTGTCACACTTGTTGGTCCATTGGTGGTGCTGCTGCTGCTGCTACTGCTGTTATTGCTGGAAGCATTGTTGGTCATCAATGCCACACGGCGACGCAGCATCTGAGCCTGATGAAAGTTGGTCAGGAGTTGTTTCTGCCTCAACTTTTGTTTCAGCTGAGGACAAAATGGAACAGGACACTTGTTCTCTGTACAGTGTTTGGCATGGTAACAGCACAGGGCAATCATCTGCTTGCAGATGGGGCAGCCATTATTGGTCTTGCGGCGACAACTCAAGGTATGAGCAACGACACGCTTCATTTTGTGGCAAGCGTTGATGCGGCAGTTGGCATTCTTGCACTGGCAGGCGTGCACCAGGGATGTGATGCAACGCTGGATGGACTTGCGACGAGACTCCTGTGGGTTTTCTTCCTTGCCTGAGCTAGAAATGTCGTCAAGGCCCAGGCCAAGTTTGATCATCTCGTGGTGATGGTTCTCCTTCTTGTAGCAATTAACACACAGGTCAAAGTCCTGCAATCACAGAAATCAAATTGTCAGTACATGTAAAAATGAACACGAGGCAGAAAGTGTCAAGCCAACATCAGTGGGCTGTCTATGTAGGGAAGAAATGGCTTCAAAAAATAAACCAGTACTAATTCCAACATACCGAGTACATTTTACAGTGTGCAAATGTAGACATCCAAGTGATGGTATACCCACCATGGATCCCGGGATGCAGACTGCATGTCTAACCTAATGACCATGGAGCAGAAAACCTGCAGCACCCATGTAACCCTCAATGTTCTCCTAAGTAATGAAAGCAAACAGCATGAAACCCTAGAGACGGAATATTCCTCTAACTGATAAGATCAAGCTGGGCGAGGAGGTTACCTCTATATAACCGTCTATCTATCTATATATATAGTCATAATTTTTCAGCCACGTTATGAGAAGAGGGAAAATAGAACATGATGTGACCACTGGAAAGATCTGGGGCAGGAGGGATATAGGAAGACGAGAGAAGATTCTTGACAGTTTTGTTGCAAGGTATGGAGGTGTGTCGGCACACGAACTGATACATGCTGCAGGAGATTGCAGACTGTGGAGAAGCATGATCGCCCACGCCAGTCGGCAAGGCACCTGATGATATATATCTATCTATATAGACGCCATATAGCATATATATATATATATATATATATATATCTATATAGACATATATATATATATATATATATATATATAGACATATATATATATATATATATATATATATATATATATATATATATGTATATATATATATATATATGTGTATATATATGTATGTATATGTTATATGTATATATATATATATATATATATATATATATATATGTGTGTGTGTGAGTGTGTGTGTGTGTGTGTAAATATATATACACACATATTTAGATATATAGAGAGAAAGAGAGAGAGAGAGAGATACAGACAGATACACACACACACACACACACACACACACACACTGAGATTGTACAAGGTCCGACAACTAGGTAATGAGACTGATTTTATTATGGCCAAGACAAAAATGCCATCTGTGAAGCAAAGCATGGTATCTAAAGAGGCACATTCATCTATGATCTGGCAACTTTTCATCGCCGCTCGACAAGCAGACAACAAACAAGCCGCCATTTTGTTGACCTAGTCAGAGGTGTATTGTTATGTAATCAGCAAGAAAAACCTAACATTAAATTCTTTTTAAAACTTGGAAAAAGCGCCATTGAAACAGTTGAATTGGTGCAACAAGTTTATGGGGATAACTGTTTATCTGGGGCATACATTTTCAGGTGGTATTCACAATTCAAAAGTGGCGTGGAAATGCACCTAGACCTAGACGCCCAATTTCTGTTCGTAATGATGAACTCATTGTAAGTCTTAATTGTCGAACCTTGTATTACACAGATGTGGATTCTGGCTCATGTCAACTTTTTTTTTAATGAAAGGCAAGTCCAATACTGAGAGAGTTAACTAGGATACTGCTGCAACAGATGTTAGGTCAGTCAAAAACTGACTGAAACATTGTTCAAACAATTTTAGGTCAGCAATAAAACTGACCAGAAAACTGTTGCAACAGATGTTAGGAGAGTCAAATAATGACCAGACATTGTGTCAACAGATGTTAGGACAGTCAAATAATGACCAGAAATTGTGTCAACAGATGTTAGGACAGTCAAATAATGACCAGACATTGTGTCAACATATGTTAGGACAGTCAAATAATGACCAGACTTTGTTTCAAAAAATGTTAGGAGAGTCAAATAATGACCAGACTTTGTTTCAACAAATGTTAGGAGAGTCAAATATTGACCGAGACATTGTTTCAACAGGTGTTAGGACAGTCAAATATTGACCCAGAAATTGTTTCAACAGGTATCAGGTCAGTCAAATAATGACCAGACATTGTTTCAACAAATGTTAGGACAGTCAAATAATGACCAGACTTTGTTTCAACAAATGTTAGGACAGTCAAATATTGACCGAGACATTGTTTCAACAGGTGTTAGGACAGTCAAATATTGACCCAGACATTGTTTCAACAGGTATCAGGTCAGTCAAATATTGACCCAGACATTGTTTCAACAGGTGTCAGGTCAGTCAAATACTGACCAGGACATTATTTAAACAGACTTAAGACAAGCCAAATACTGACCAGAAAAGTCAATTACCCACCCGCAAACTTTAGAACCCACATGGTGAGTATGTTAAAACAATTCATAGTGAACACTATCTTGTCACAAAAACAACAAACAAAAACTTACGTCACAAATATTGCAGTGAAATCTGGTTTCCACCGCAGCCTTGCAATTATTGCAGGTGTACACAAAAGCATCTTTGCCCTGGTTGTGCAGCTCATACAGCAGGGCCATAGAAGACAACTTGGCACGCCGCAATGAAGAAAACTCATAATGCTTCTCTCTAGCACTGGTGAGAAAGGCATCCCTGCCATCCATGAGGTCACAATTCATGGCCGGGTCCGGCTCGGAGATTGGTGGCAACGAGGCAGCTATCTGCTGGTTGTGTAGTCTGATCACGAAGAACACCTGGAGGACAACCACAACACATTAGACAACATCAGCAAGAGAGGTTAGGCATTCATGGTATCAGCAAGATAATATGGTAAAGCAAAGCTGTGACAGTGAATGGTGACACCAGGTGTATATACATCAGCAGTAATCTATATGCACATGAGCAGTTATCTACATAGATTATAGCAGTAATCTACACACACATCACTAGTAACCTAAACAGCCATCACTAGTAATCTACATTTGCATCAGCAGTTATCTTCATAGATATGAGCAGTAATCTCTATAGATAGCAGTAATCTATTCAGACATCACCAGCTTGATACATAGTAGAATTCAGCAGTAATCTACATTCACATCAGACGTAATCATCATACACATTAGCATAATGTACAAGACACAAGAGAGACAACGAGCAAACAGCTTAGAAATCCAGGGAAATACAAAAGAATGGATTACATCAGTGAAAATAGGACCTTTTTAACACCTTTGGTGCATGGGGTATGTAGTGCTAGACCTATTTATATACTTAATGATTCTTCTTGTCTGATCGCTTTTTGATTTACACAGACAACCGAGTTCTTGTGATAAAATTGACTGTTTTTTAGGAGTTGCCTTTTAGTTCCATAAAACTTTGTCTATGGTGATGACTGGGTTGGTCAGTGTTCCCTTCTTAATGAGCTGTACAAAGGATATTCTTGTCTGACAATATTTAATGATTAATCACAACTGGCGAAAAAGTTCTTTAAAAAACTGGAAATAAAAAAAGTAGGGGGAACAAATAAACACATGGATTAACCAAATGCTATCTTCTTCTTCTGCCTTTCGATCCCCCAATGGAGCATAGGCCCTCAACCAACTCATGCCAAGTCGTTCTATCCTTCGCCATTGCATGGAGCTCTCCCCGTGTCCTCCCCATCCCTCTGACTTCATTCTCCAGCTCTCTTCTCCGTGTGTTTTTTGGCCTTCCTTTATTCCTATGCCCCTGTGGGTTCCAATGCAAAGACATTCTAGTTATGCTGTTCTCCTATTTACTCAGTGTGTGTTCTATCCAACGCCAGCGTCTTTTCCTCACCTCTTGGTCCAATGGAGCCTGTTTAGTTCTCTCCCAATGTTCTACATTAGTTATTCTATCATACCCTTTAATTCCCTCTATTCTGCGCAGGCACCAGTTAATGAATGTCTGTAATTTATTAGTAATTGTCTTAGTTGTTCATGTTTCCGCCCCATACAAGAGTACTGATTTGACATTAGTATTAAAAATTTTAAGGTTAGTATTTCTTTTGAACCAAATGCTGTAGCCTCGCTGAAAGACATGAAGGCAAATCAATAAGAACAATGCAGTAATAACCGACCAACTGAAGCCTGAAGGAGTGCGCCAACAGTGTGAGAGAGAAAGTAGAGGAGACCTATTAGACAATCTTAGTTGTGGAGATGACCTTATCTGACTGATGTTGAGAAGTTAGGTATAACAAGATAGATTCACAAGCAGTAGAAGAGACAGGGCTAGAGATGAAGGTGAGAAACAAGTTGGGGCAGAACCATTGGTACACCAGACCGAGACAACAGATCAAATAGTCTAGATATGAGTCAAGACTACCCTAAGAGGTAGACAGCCCACCACCTAGACACAACGGAAGCATACACAAAGTCTGAGGCTGTGAATGTCAGCACAAAATAAGGCTCACACCAGCTGCCTCTTCAAAACCTGGTGACAAAAGGCAGAACATGACAAGAGAGAAAAGAAAAATGAAGGCAAAGATAGCACCAATGCCTGGTCTGAATCATCCATTTAAACACAAGAAGATCATTAAAAGTTAGTTGCGTATCAATCCTTTACAGGACCTTGCAGAACCAACCCTAGCATTGATTGGCTGTTGTGGTTTTTCTAGGCAAATTTTATGTTCAGTAGTTTGCCATTCATATCAAGAACCACTACCGATTGGAAAACATAGCAGAAGGCATGGTACCAAGAAGGAGGGGCCGACCGACACAAAGATAGGCACAGGATATAAGTGACCACTTGCTTATGAAAGTACATGAGGCGGGAGAACTGGCGAGAGACAGTTTCTTTTAGGCAGACTGTGATGAGAGTGACGTTCTGAAAAGGACCTGCTACATGATGATGATGAGTTTGCCATTGCTTCCTGAATGGTCAGCTCTCTGCACCACTGTTAAAACCAGCGCAAGAAAAACCGTCTGCAGCGGAGATCAAACCCTGCATTACAAAGCTCGTTCGCAATGCCTAAGCCACAGACGCAGACAAGAAGATCATACTTACACAGAAAACAAACTATTACATACCTCCTTATGTTTCTCCATGTGGCTGTACAATTTGGCAGTCAGGTCACTGGTCCCCTGAGGAAGGTTGGTTTTGCGACTGTTCTTTCTGGCACTACTTTTGCTCTTGTTGGCCTTTTTTACTTCTCTGGCCTTTTTTCTCACCTTTTTTCTTTCCAGATAAATCCTGAATAACAGCATAAAAGTATTCATAAGATACCATATGGCTGTTAAAATTATTACCACCACCACCTGTTAATAATTATCTGATAACTTTGTTCTCTGTTGTCTGGATTTTTCAGTAAACACCACATGTGTCTGTTCCTGCATGTCTGCTTTTAATGTTTTACAATTGTTTTTGCCCGGCTGGCTAGCGTAGATGGCTAAACCTGAATTCGCAGCGACCGCGTGACAAACTCCTTGTGGTCTGGGTTCACGCCCAGGGGTAGGCAGAGAAAAGCCTCATTTCTCCCAGATTTACAATATTTATCATGGAATCAAGGCCGAAGGGTTTTGATATCTAGGTAGGCAGAGAAGCCTCATTTCTCCCAGATTTACAATATTTATCATGGAATCAAGGCCGAAGGGTTTTGATATCTATCGATAGTACCGAGCCAAATGGTTTCCGAATATATATATTTTTAACAAAAAAACTGTTGTCCTGGAGGTTCCAATTTTGTGTTTTCAATATTAGCCAAATCTATCTCATTCAATGTAGTTTTACCATATGGGCACAAGGTTACTAAATGACAGACTGGTTTCTGTTACCTATGATCAGATACTATACACACACTGCACAAATGCAAGTTTAGTCAGTCAACTGAATTCAGGACCAACTGCAAGTAAAGGTTAAAATTGGAAGTTCACAGCTCAGTGCATGGACATTAATATCATCTCACCCTGTACATGCCAGAGAGAATTTTATGCCAGATTCACAGGCAAATATTCTATGCTTGTTGGTTTTCTGGTTTTAAAACTCACAGAGGACCTTTCATTATAATTTTTCTAATCCAGTTGGATTCTTTCTCAGTGGCCACTTATGTCATACCCTAAGACCTATCTGATCAACTATCCACAGATCACCCTAAACAGGCACAACTGTGACCCACTATTTGTCCTGTGCCAAACAACCATAAAAGAAATGCCAACATCAGTCAGACAACTCTCAACACAAACAACCATACCAGAAACACTGACATGCCAAGACTCACAGTCGGACAACTCTCAACATAAACAACCATACCAGAAACATTGAAATGCCAAGACACACAGTCAGACAACTCTCAACACAAGTAACCATACCAGAAACACTGACATGCCAAGACACACAGTCAGACAACTCTCAACACAAACAACCATACCAGAAACACTGACATGCCAAGACTCACAGTCGGACAATTCTCAACACAAACAACCATACCAGAAACACTGACATGCCAAGACTCACAGTCGGACAACTCTCAACACAAGTAACCATACCAGAAACACTGACATGCCAAGACACACAGTCAGACAACTCTCAACATAAACAACCATACCAGAAACACTGACATGCCAAGACACACAGTCAGACAACTCTCAACATAAACAACCATACCAGAAACACTGACATGCCAAGACACACAGTCAGACAACTCTCAACATAAACAACCATACCAGAAACACTGACATGCCAAGACACACAGTCAGACAACTCTCAACACAAACAACCATACCAGAAACACTGACATGCCAAGACTCACAGTCAGACAACTCTCAACAGAAACAACCATACCAGAAACACTGACATGCCAAGACTCACAGTCAGACAACTCTCAACACAAGCAACCATACCAGAAACACTGACATGCCAAGACTCACAGTCAGGCAACTCTCAACAGAAACAACCATACCAGAAACATTGAAATGCCAAGACTTACAGTCGGACAACTCTCAACACAAACAACCATACCAGAAACACTGACATGCCAAGACTCACAGTCAGACAACTCTCAACACAAGCAACCATACCAGAAACACTGACATGCCAAGACTCACTGACACATCAAAGACTCAAAAGTATGACAACTATAAAGTCCAAACTTAAACTTACAGCATCAATGATCTCCTCAACTGTCTCCTGGGCCTCTGCCTCTGCTGCCTCAGCTTCTTCCCGCTTTCTCTTCTCTTCCTCCTCCTGATCCAATTCTTTGATGCTTTCCTCCATGACATTGGGCCAGAAGTCACCATCAAAGTAGGCCATATCTTTAGCACTGGCCAGCCCAGAATCTATGGCATCTTTGAAAATGTCCTGCAGATTTCATAAGTAAATGTATAACATGTGAAGTTTCTGGAGATGAGATTGAAAGGAAGTGGTCAAGACAACAACAACAAAAACCACTATTATATACTGCTTTTATCACTCTTCTCCCTTCAGCTACAGTGGTAGCAGCAACCACAACCTGTGTCTTATTAGACATAATACATGAACATCCTTGCCTAACTTAACTTACAACTGTTTTTAGTTCTTCTTATTAGCCTTATTACAAAGGTCAATAATACATTTTTTAAATATATAATTCCCCCCCCCCCACTTAAAATATATAAAGACAAATAAAGGGGGTAATCCATAAACATGAAGAGAGTGAAGCATTAAATGAAATACATTTCTTAGGGCCTAAAAAAAAAACAATATGCATTGTGTTGTGTGACTGTGACCTGTATCACTGAGGCTTACGGAAAATTTGACACGAACTTGGCATGAACACACACAACAACAAAAACTAGTTCACACCCCTAATAAGATATTTTTAGCTAATACATTCATGTTATGACGTCCCAAACATTTATAAAGGTGTGAGCTCTGCCAATACCATTAACTATATGCGTCTTGTAAACAAGTCACTGCGATAAAGTAGGAAATGTGAAATTCACGGGAACGTGGATACAAATGGAAGTATCGGTTTTGTGGCTTCTCAGGGCGACAGGACTAATGTGCTTCAATCATACAGGCTTCCCATATAGACATTGTCGTGAGTCACCAGACAAACATAATTAAGCATGTCTCAATTAGGATAAAACCTTGATTCATGGTACTACCAATTACCATCCCAAGCGTACACACAATGTACACAAAATATGCCCAATGAAGAACGAACACTCTAGAGCAGACATTAATGACTGTTAGGTTTACTGCCAAGGACCTTCCCAAGATTTCAGGGCCCCATTTGTGATTGGAGAAGGGGGGGGGGGGGTGTTAAAACAATTGACACAGTACCATTCTAACAAGCCGAATGTGGCTAGGGGTTTTTCCGCCGAAGTTAGGGCCATCATCATCACTGGCACCTTTCCTTCTTTCCAGACAACAGCGTTATATAGTGCTATGAGGAGGCATGGGACTCACAGCTCATGACAATCACAAGTGTCACTAGCAAGACCTACCTGCGCGAAGAGAAGTAGTTCCTCCTCTCCACAGCACAAAGGTTTAGTATACGCTGCCCAACATTCAGCGTTAACAAAGACAAGTAGTACCGGCTACTGTTATATCTGACCAAAAACTGACATACAGGAGTACATACAAACTAACTGAATATATATAGGAAACATAACAGAGTAACATCAAACTAACTGAACATACAGGAGCACATATAAACTGACTGAAAACATGGGGAACATAATAGGGTACTAATAAACTAACTAAATATACACGAGTACATATAAACTAATTGAACATATAGGAAACATAATAGGGTACCAAACAAACATAGGAAATATAACAGAGTACCAACAAACTAACTGGACATACAGGAGAACATATAAACTAAATGTAGTTAGAGTGCATCTGTTCAAAAGGCTAGGAACCAACAGTTTGCATACAAAAAAGGCCAGATCTGTAGAATAGATGTGAATACAAAACTCAAGTTCTGGAATCTGTCCAGAAGGGGATGATAACCAGAACTTTGTCAGCGTTTAAAGTCAGTGAAGATTAAGAAGAACAAGTTTGGGACCTAAACTCCATTTAGGGATAAAAGACAGAAGAAATGGACATCGCATGCTTAGAAAGCCTGGATAAATACCTTGTAATCCACAACCACTCTGTCAATGATAGCCTTGTCCAGCATCTTCTTGTACCAGTCCTGCAGCCGTTTCGGTTTGGGTATTTTCTGCTCGGGCGGGTGACAGTGGAAAATGTAATCATCGCCTTCACTGGGTGGGCAAGCCCAAATGTGGGCTGTAGTGTAGCCCAGGTTTTTTGCATACTCCAGATAACCGATGAGGATCTCGTGATAAACAGCTGTTCTCAGATGCCTTGGTCGGAAATAGTGGACACTGTCCAGGTATGATATGTAAACTCGTCTGTGGACAAAGGGAAGGCAAAGTAAGTGGTCAATATACAGTGTGGCTTCATGATGGTGAAAGTCAAATATAGACGATGCTGAAGAACTTAACAATGGATGTGGACACATGCATATCTATGGAATATGATGTGTAACTCCCTATGTAGGCTCTGGGGTCCCATAGGGAAACACTGTCCTCAACAAGCAAAGTATAAAAGAAGCTGGGGGGGGGGGGGGGGGGATTAACGGAGATATCACAGCCTAGCTGTAAACCACAAGTCGACAGATATTTTAGGGGTAAGCGGAGAAGAAAGTGATAAATTGGTGTTGTTTATGTGTGCATGCATGTTCATGCCTACAGGGGAGAAGGGTTTCCATGGCTAAATGGTACAGCTGTAAAGGCTGTGAGTGGGCAAGTTTGTAGACTGCATTGTTTAGTTTATGAGTGAAATATTTGTGGAGCTCCCTGTGAGTCGTGGCTTGAGCCAGAGTCTGACCTTTGTCTAATGCTGGAGAGAGTGCCAGAGACTGGGCCTTTTCGGGTGTAACCTGCTACAGTGGAGCCAAACTTCTCTCTTTTAAGAGGATGCCAACTATAAAAAAACAAGAATTAACAATGTTATATTACGCTGGCATAGCAAGATACTTATACACCCTAGCGTAGTACCTGAAGAACTGAGTTTTTACATCACCAAGGAGTTCAATAGCTTTTCTAGTTTTTATTTTCTTTTTTATTAAATGGTTCCTCGGTGTAGAAAACTCTTGTCAAAAAACTCCAAATGATAGGAGACACGAGCAAGTCTAAAGAAAAAGGAAAGAAACGTTATGTCATAAAATTCACTGACCTTGTATTTGGCATTGGGCAGTTTGATCCATACTCCTGAACATGCATACCAAAGAAGCAGACATCAACTCCATCAATTTCTTCAAATGCAAACATGGCTTTGGCTCGGTAGGGAAAGCAATCAGGCATCTCATCACCAAACCTGAACCAATACTGATGCATGAGCTTAGTGAGAACATTTGTTCCATTATATATCATATCAAATATCTGTCCAGCTTCCTTACATTAGAGTGCAGAGAACAGCCGTCCTATTACATAACACATCAAATATCTCTCTAGCTTCTTTACTCTACAGTGCAGAGTACATCTGTCCTATTATATAACATATCAAATATCTCTCCAGCTTCTTTACTCTAGAGTGCAGAGAACATCTGTCTTATTATATAACATATCAAATATCTCTCTAGCTTCTTTACTCTAGAGTGCAGAGAACATCTGTCCTTATATATAACATATCAAATATATATCTAGCTTCTTTACTCTAGAGTGCAGAGAACATCTGTCCTTATATATAACATATCAAATATATATCTAGCTTCTTTACTCTAGAGTGAAGAGAACATCTGTCCTATTATATAACATATCAAATATCTCTCTAGCTTCTTTACTCTAGAGTGCAGAGAACATCTGTCACATTAAATAACACATCAAATATCTCTCTAGCTTCTTTACTCTAGTGCAGAGAACAGCTGTCCCATTATATATCAAATATCTCTCTAGCTTCTTTACAGTGTAAAGAACAGCTGTCCATTACATAACCTACCAGGCCCTTAGCCTTGGCTGGCAGTGGGTCTAAAAGGGAGCTCTGACAGACAGAGCACTGCTCTTTTGAACTGACAGCTTCTGCAACATGTTTTTTTTCCAGTTATTTTTTTCTCTCTCTGGAGTAAAGAAAGGAAGGCTGAGAGAGGAGATCATGATATGGCCTCTACAATGCTAACCCGGCTAGGTACTATAGAAAAGAAAAGCTTCCACAACTGTGATCCCTATCTCTGTCTATAACGCTATCATCTGGAAAGATTGATTTACGCCAATAATGTACATATACACCCTGACGTTTGCCCCACCCCATCTATAATACTTCAGAAAAACCCAACGCCATGCCCCAGTCTAACAGCTGGTTGTCGCTGCTCACAAAGTACGCTCGAGCTGCTAGCTGATGCTATTCCGCGCTGATGAGATGACCAAACCATTTGATTCTTCAATTTTTCTATGAAATCATTTACTGCTACGGTGCCTACCATTTTTCTTAGTTCTTTGATGATGACTGTCTCATCTAGTTTTCCTGTGGCATTTCTATTCTTAAACACTTCATCTCAACATGTAATTTTGCGTGTTTTTCCCCCCTGGCACTGACAGCACAAAGTTGGCACAAACAGCGCATTTATCGACTGCTTTTTTCTGTGCACGCTGACATTCTGATGTCTGAAAAGTGGAGCTATTTGGTAATCTATGTTGCTGGCCTTCTGTATTCTATTTATATCTGCATTATTTAAATTCATTACAGAAAAAAAAAATGTTTTTAATTATTATTTCCCTATACAGTCCTCAGTGAATACCCGCCATTGGTACTTAAACTCCTCAGCTCAACCTGACTTAAGAGTGGGTCTCAATGAGAACCATGGATATAGAAGAGACACAAACAATGGTACAGTGGACAAACCTTTTCTTCATGAGCGGCTTGACTTCTGTCATTTTATCGTAACTAGACAGCACCCGAATGGTCACCTCGCCCGCCTGAGTGTCCTTCTTGCGCAGAAAGTTGTTGATTCTGTTCTCCAGGTATAGGGCTAGTTTTGTTGTTGGTAACTCTGAAGAATATGAAAATGAATCACATCAGAAATAAGTCGAACAGCTGCGTCTGCAAGTGACTTTAAAGTAAAAGATGGTGTGTAAGATTTTCATCAAATTTTCTGTCACTCCATGGCACAGACATGTCAAATAACCTTAACTGGGCCTGGTGGTGTAGTGGTTAGTAAGCTTGCCAGCTGCATTTATTCAGGATTAGAGGCTGACCTCACCTCATAAAACAGGCTGCCAGTTGGGTGAGGCACCTGCCTCCAGCTTCAACAGTTCCTGGCACACATATGCCTCATGCAGAATATTTCAGAAAAACCAACGTCATGCTCAAGCCCTTTCAGAATTTCCGAGAACTGTCTTGGAAGCCAAGGCTTTGAGGTGATGAGGAAGGACAATGGTCATCCTCACCTCGAATCATATAGCGCAAAATATCTACAGGACTAACACTTCACATCTGAAAGGCAGATCACCTTAATAACCACCTTATAACTAAAACAACCTAACTTGAACTTAATGTAATTAGTCGCTCCTTTTCTACCTTGGGGTGTAAAGATTTGCCAGACTTCTCTATCAGCAGTTTTCTTTCTGGCTTCGTTCCATTCCAGTCGTCTGTCAGTCAAGGACTGTCAGATGTTGCCTTCCCAGCAGGTCCGAATCATTTTAACAGTGACTGATCCATTCGAGTTTGTAAGGCCCAGGTGTCAAGATGTTCACGTATTTTCTGATTGCAAATTTTGTTTTTTGTCACTTGAACCACCTTTCTCAGATATCTCATTTCTGAGGCCTGATGCTGGCTTTTGTGAGCTGTTGTCATTGCCAATGATTCACCACAATAGGTCAGGATTGGCACATAGGTAGACAACCTCATCTCAACTTAAGCAGGACAAAAACAAAGCTATAAGAAGTATACCTAAGAAGAATCAGCACTTACTTTTAGCTGTAAATCTGTTTTCCTTCCGGGGCACACCTTTAGCCTTGAGGCAGGCATCACAGGTCCACCTGGAGGGAGGACAGAACAAAGCATCAGCCACCAGCTTCTGATGTACCACAGATACTTATAAACAAAAACAACTACTGCAAGACATACCAAATATGAAAGTACAACTGCAAATCTAATGAAAGGTCATAATTAAATATTAACCCCCACTACAAAAACATCGTCAAGTAGCAAGTCTTTTTGCAGAATGTCACTCTCATCACGGTCTGCCTGAAACAAACTCTGTCTTTCACCAGCTCTCCCACCTCTGGTACTTTCATTTCAGGCAGTCACATATATCCTGTGCCCACCTTCGTGTTGGCCGGCCCCTGTATAGGTACCATGGATTCTGCTTTTATTTTTAACATAAATAACAGTGATTAAACACTGTGCCATCTCTACAATGCATCCAGTGCTAACCATGGGAAGATTATGTGGTGATAACACGCTTTCCCACAGTGCAACTCTCAAAGCTTTTTCTACTCTCTTAACCACATGTTGGAAGCATCAACAATTAGCCCTCTGCCATGTTCTGATCTCAGCAATACACAGAACAGAGAAACAATGCTGTTTTTTTTAAATTTTTTTTTTGCCTTTAACTGTTTCCTTACTTACTTACTTAGTCGCTCCTCTTCTACCTTGGGGTGTAAAGGTTTGCCAGAGAGATCGCCAGACGTCTCTATCAGCAGTTTTCTTTCTGGCTTTGTTCCATTCCAGTCCTCTGTCAGTCAGGGACTGTCGGATGTTGTCTTCCCAGCGCACCCTGGGTCGTCCCGGAGGTCTGGTTCCCTGGTTCTTAGCCTCCCATGCTTGCCATGGTGGCCGATTTTTTCTCCCATTCTGCACACATGTCCAAACCATCGTAACTGTGACTGATTCCACTCGGGTTAGTAAGGGGCTGGGTATCAAGATCTTGACGTATTGTCTGATTGCGGGACTTTGTCCCTTCTTGTCACTTGGACCACCTTTCTCAGGTATCTCATTTCCGAGGCCTGCAGCTGGCTTCTGCGAGCTGTTGT